TCATTACAACCTGTCCCCCTCCTCACAGTAATCTATCTACTTCAGTATGGTTATAAATAATATTTGTTCGTGCGTGCAGCGAATGAGACATAATTAAATGTGAAAGTAGGATTCTAATGTTATTTCGAGATTAAATCATGGGTACCCCGTTTATCCTCGGATATAATTAATTGTATCGCGCCATTGCTCGCTAATCCTTTTCTCTCTCTCTCTCTCTCTCTTTTTTTTTTCTTCTTTTTTATTTTTCTAATTTCACTTGTCATTTTATTTCGTTTCTTTCTTTTTCTTCTCCTTTTTTTATTTTCCTTTTTTATTATTATTTTTTTTTTTGTTTTTTGTTTTTTGTTTTTCTTTTTCTATAGACGGCGACAGAAACATACACGACGTACTACGATAATAATACTTTAAAACTTTTATTTATTCTCGTTATATCTGTCACTTTAATTCAATACAAATTGAATACGTTAAATACGTTCTAACGTATATATTTTTTATATTTCCAAAGGGGAGATCGTTATTAAAATTTTTCTTTTTCTCTACCTCTCTCTACCTCTCTTTCTCTCTCTCTCTCTCTCTCTATTTCTCTCTATCTCTCTATCTTTTTCTCTCTCCCTTTTTCTTTTCTTTTCTTTCTTTTTTCTTTTTTTTTTCTTTCTTCTTCTTTTTCCAATATTACAATCTAATATGTTTCACGAGAGAATATTACGAGATAATTTTTTTCTTTTTTTTTTCTTATTGATTTATCACGTTCGTGTTAATAAAGTTTATATGTATTTCATTGGAACGTTAAAATATGATTATTGAATCGTTTCTCAAATAAATACACGCGCTCGTTCAATCTTTTTCACGTATTTTTCTTTACGTTCGTATTAAAAAAAAAAAAAAAAAAAAAAAAAAAAATGGAAAAAGAAAAAAAGAAAAGAAAAGAAAAAGACACACTCCCCTTTTCTCCCTTTTTCAAAATGACATCATGTTGACAATTTGTTTTGAGCACTTGAAGTAGCACTTTTTAACTTTATAAGTAGTAGGCATACTCTCACTCGTCAGATACACACGTCACACACACATATACACACACACACACGCGAAAGAATATACTCAACACTTAAATACGACACACTTAAGGGAAAAAATGATAATGGATTAATGGTATTCTAAATGTATCATATATATGATGGCTGTACAAATGTAACATTTTTTTCCATTATGTATGAAGACGATGAAACAAAAGAGGAAAAAAAAAAAGAAAAAAGAAAGAAAAGAGAAAGAGAAAGGAAAAGATTTGATGCAAAAAAAGAAAAAGAAAAGGAAGTATAATTGAACAAGAAAAAGAGAAAAACAGAAAAAAAAAGAAGAAGAGAAGAAAGAAAACACACGTGTGTGCGACGATCGATATTAGGTCGACATTAGAAAATCGGCGTTATTATCGATCCATTAATTCACCCGCGTGAGTGATTTACCAATAAACTATTACTACTTTTAATTATTATGAAATACAATTTCTGTAATAACATTATGATATAAAACCATACATTGAATGGCACGTGTTTGTCATTTTAATATTTCTATTTCCTTTAATGCACCATTAATTTTGTTTCCTTCAGTTAACCCAATTACAGGATTATACAAATTGGTGATGGGATATAAAAATCATTAGGACGAGCAAATTATTATTTTTCTTTTTTTCTTTTTTTTATTTTGTTGTAATCAATAAATTTTATTTCATTATCGTTCACAAATGATAATTGTCTTTACTTATAATTAAGAACCATGAGAGAGAGAGATAGCATTCATGGTGAATTTCAGGAAATTACAGACTGCGAAGAAAATACAGTGCGAATATGGATTATCATCAAAAACAATTTTTTAAAAGTATGAAACTTTTTTTAGCTTCGAACGTCGATTTCTTTTTAATTGGACAACGATGTTTATATACATACATAATCATGCATATATATATACGTGTATGTATATCTGTATATATATATATATATATATATATATATATATATATATATGTGTATATATATATGTATATATATATTTGTGTGTATATATATATATATTTATATATACATTTCTATTCATTCGCTTTCTTCTTTAGAACGTTCCCGGTCGGAGCGTCTTGATTTCTTCTTACGTCTACTCGGACTTCGCGATCGCGATTTGTGTCTACGAGATCGTGACCTTGAACGATGCCTATGCCTAATGAAAAAAGGTAAAAGATAGATTGAAAGATTTCTTTGGAGAAAATTTTGAAACGTAATCGTGTTTGTACGATCGTTTCACGTTCGTCGTCCTACCTCTCTTTATGTCGATATTGCGATCGTGATCTATCGCGATCTCTTTCTTCGTCTCGTGCTACGGAGTCTCTTTCTCGATCACGATCTCTGATCATTGAATCTTTTTCCCTTTCACGATCACGCTCCCTTTCTTTTTCCCTTTCTCTCTCCCTACCCATCGAATCCAAATCTCTTTCACGTTCCCTATCTCGATCTCTATCCCTCTCACGTTCTCGAATATCTCGTTGATCTCTAGGTGGCATCAAAGGTGGTATAGATATCGGTGGTACCATTGTGGGTATCGTTTTAGGGCCCATATCTTTCTCTTCTTCGCCTTCTGTCATTGGAATGGCTAAATTTGTTGGTTGCCAAGTCTATCGAAGGAAAAATATTAAAATTATAATTGTATTATAAGAGATAAAATGAATAGATTGTATTGTGTATACTTTTAATGTGTCTACTTACTGGATCGTTACCCCATTGATTATCTTGAGTAGGTTCATAACTTTGATAATACGGATCAGTTTCAGGCATATAGAATGGAGCTGGCTCTCCGGGATATCCAGGAGGTGGCATATCGAAGGGTGGAGGTAATCCTGCTCCTGGCGGTGGTACGCTCATATCTGGGAAACCTGGTTTTCTAGAATATTCTCTTCTGTCTGCTGTCATAACTTGTATTACGTTTCCTTTAGGCGGTGATTTATCAAGATTCCGTCTAGAAGCTAATCCTGAACTTCCGATGACATCTATAGTGCCAGCCATTTTTCTACCTGGCGGTGGTCCAGCTCGTTTTGGTCCCATGATACCAGAGTATTTACTATTATCATTAGTAATTGCTACTTGTGGTACTCGCATACCACTTGGATTACTTCCACCGCCTCCCGCATTTAATATCAAACCTACTCCAGATTCACTTCTCATTTTTTTCTGTCGTTCACAATAAGCTCTCCAAGTTTCTTCATTGAAACCATAATTGAAATAGTCTGTTATATCTGCACCAGGCTGTCTCCATGGTTTATCTTCTAATTGATCTAAATTAAATTCATGAGCTGGCATTCCATTGATAACACCAATTGTTTCAAATTCGTCTATACTAAATTTTCCTGGTTGCTTATTCAGTTTATCAGGTACCCCTGATGCGGTCGTAAGTAGGCCACCTCTCTTAATATTTAAACTACCATATGCCGGTGTCGATTTAATATCCCCAATAACTACATGAACGTCGTCGTCAGAATCAGAATCACTTGCAGCTTCTCCATCCTCTTGACTGGAAGCCTCTCTTGTACCATTTTTACTAACATCAGGATCATTTTCATCTTGCATATTATTCAATGAACATTCTTCTCTAGGTGAACCTGCATTTTCTGATATCTAAGCAAAAATTAAGCAAATGCTAGTTAAAGTTAAATAAAAAAAAAAAAAAAAAAGAACACGTACATCGATTATTTATGCTAAGATTTATTCAAATATCGTTTTGAAGTAATACGCCGGGAATAATAGGTTATAAACGACGCACCTCGGCTAATCTTTCTGGAACGTTATCATTTTTCTTTTCTTCCAAAATTTGTGATGCTTCTTGAGAATTAATAGGTATTGAATCATTTTGTTGATTTTCAATTTGAACATTTGTCGGCGATAATTCTTTTCCATCCGTTGAATCTCCGTATAACCACTGTTCCTCACTTTCGTCCGCCATTTTTCCTCACTTTTCTTGACAACCAACAATATAATCCAGTTCTAGATACTTGTGTTGGTCAAACACTCTACGTTACCTACCGAGTAATTAAAGATTTCATTTGAACGTTGTATCTACGTTCAACCTTTTTATATTTACTGAACAATAAAACCTACTCTTCGCCAATTTAATGAAACATTAAATAAAACGAAATATTTTTGTTGAAAATTCAGACTTTATGATAACGTAACGAATGCGATGTTGCCAAATCATGCATATCATTTTGAACACGAATAATATAAAATTTGATTGTCTGAATAATTCGATTTGAAGAATTTTCTTATGTTACAAAAATTTCGCGGAATTTTCTTTGGAAGTTAAATTATTATATTAATTAAAATTAAATATCAACACTTAATAGTATTTGTGATAGATAGAATTGTCATAATTTATATTTTCATTATGGTTTTCAAATTAAAATTAATATTATATAATAATCTCTATGTATATTAAGAATCAGTATTGATACATAATATTGTATAAAATTGCTAAGAGAAAATTATTATAAAATACCGGTTTGTTGCATTTATATATTTTAATAATTTTAAATTATATTATGATGGCTTAATGTGACTTAATAATATAACTTTTTATTATGTACAAAGGAAAAATGATATTAATACTTGATATATTCTATGATCTATGTAACGCGTACCTTTTACATCTTCATGCTTTCACGACCATAAACGTATAGAATGTTTTGTTTACATGGCGCGATCACAGCGCTTAGACGGAAGTGTACACAACTAAAACGTCTTATAATAACTCTTTCCTTTGATTTGACACGAATAATAACTAATCTATATAATATATATTGTGTATATACATATATATATATGTATATATATATATTTGAAATAATTAATAGTTTCTCCTTTTAATTTTGTCGTCAGTGTCGATAATACAATCAATTATTTGTCTATTCAATTTATCAATTGAATGTGACGTAGAAGTTCCACAGGTAAACGTCAGGTAGCGTAGCAGTCCTATTCTAAATAAGTATTGTGATTTAAAGTTTTATTATGTCATAAAATTTTAGTTAAGTCGTAATTAATAAATGTCCGTGTATATTTGACATAGCGATTCGATTGGGATTTTAAATTAATATTTTTTCTGTTTTTTTTCCATACCAACAATGCAAATTTCTCGTATCAACAAACTAGAATTGTTTTCCGTAATTTTTCGAGGTTATGGAACTCACAGGTTGGAATGTGACAAACAATAGTTTTATCGTTAAGAGTAATATTTTTGAATGGAAAAAAATTTTCTTTGTAGATCACACAAATACTACGAGATATTAGAAGTTTCACCAGATTGCTCGCAAAAAGAAATAAGAAGATCCTTTATTGCGTTATCGAAAAAAGTATATTATTTCTTTCTTTTGGTAAAAAAAAAATGACATGTCAAATATATTTCAGAATGAATATTTAGTGAAATGAATGTGTTATAAGAGAGTTGATACAGTTGTTTTCTTTAGTTTCATCCTGATATCATGGGAAAAGAGGGACATGATAAATTTGTAGCATTGCAAGAAGCTTACAATGTTCTCAGCAAGGAACATACAAGAAAACAATATGACATGAGTTTAAAATATAATACTTATTCTTCATTTTATCCTGACTATAATCCAAAAGCAGACCATTATCATGTTTACAGATCGTACGTCTATCGATAAAAAAAGCTGTAATATTGTATTGTTTTAATTTTTAGAAAAAATACTTCATATTTGTCCGTCCACTTATTTATTAGACGTAGAGAATGGGAAGAGCATATGGCAAGAGGAAATTGGCAACCAAATTACAATAATAAAGAACAAAAAAATATAAATTCTGAATTATTAATTTATACTATATTTGGGATATTTTTAATAATTTTTCAATTGATAATTGTACAACAAGGATTACTTAGTAGAATTGATCTAATGCAAATAAAATATCAAAAAGAATATAACGCAATACGACAAAAGGTGAAAAATCTTACGTTTGAAGAGCAGATGGATCTTGTGAAAGAAAAAATGAGGATATACGAGGAAGAAGTGAATAGAAGAAAATTTGATGGTGAATATAAACTTTTGAAAAGTTCATTATATACAGGATGAAACATATAATTTGATTATTATTATTTATTTAAAATTATTCAATATCCCTTAAAAGTATTCTATTTCATAGTGCACATATCATATTTATATTAATTAAGAATTTAAAATATTAAAAATTAAAATTAACAACTGATATAAAATGTGTTACAGTTACCTTGCGAACATTTTTTGTAAGAAAAATAATGAAAAAAGATAATATAAAACTATCAATTATTGATTAATCATATTATTTGATTCATTCTGCTTGTTTTATATATATATATATTTATATATATATATATATATATATATAATATAATTTGTACAATTAATATTTGTTTCAGATAAGAAGTAAATATATTATTTTAGAAAGAGTCATTACAATAGTTGATCGTACAAATATTATTATATAGTTTAAAGAATACATTCGTATTGTTAACTTGTGATACTATATATAAATTATAATGCAAGATATCTGATATATGTAGTATACATAGCAAAATTCATGAATACACAAAAGTGTTTATGAACTAATGAGTCTATAAATGTATATTTACACGTAATGAATCATAGATAAGGAAGAAAAAGTAAGCATCTTTTAAAGAAAATTTATTTTTTTAAGATAATCATTTTGTCGTATATAAATAAACATATACAACTAATAATGAAAAGTATTTTTGTCATTAAATGAAAATAGAAGAAATGATAATTCATAGATTTTTAATATATATCAATTATGATTTCGTTATTGTACAGATTAAAATGCATAATAAATATGAAAATATTTTATATAATTTAATTCAACGTTCGCCAAAAAAACAAATTTTCTTTTTTACAATAAGAATTATTATACAATTATTTGATAAAAATCATATTAAATTGATATTTATAATTTTCGTTTGAATTTAAAATATTCAAAGACGCATCTTTTTCTCTCTTTCTCTCTCTTTCTCTCAACTGTTGCTTTCTTTTTTCTCTTACTTAATATTACATTAATTATTCTTTTCATAATCTTTGATTGCAAACGATTATTTTATAATCTTTTGATATATGAGTTAGCAGCCATATGTGGAGGAGCAGGTGTAAAAATAGGTTTACCATTTTCGTCAACGTAATCAGAATATTTCACTTGATATATTATTTCAAAACCAAGTCGTTCGCATAATTTTCCAGAGAACATGGATGTACAATCAACACGTATTGCTTGAAAATTGTGTTCCTTAGCGATCTCTCTGAAAAAGGAAAAGAAAAAAATAAGAAGAAATAAATAAAATTTATATTCGATAGTAGTAAAAGGAAAAAAAAATTATCGAGAGATTTCTATATGTCTAATTTGTTTTTAATTAATTAATTTATTTTCTTATTAATTATATACTCACATTGTTTTTTCAATAAGTGCTTTGGCAATACCTTTGCCTCTCCAATTAGTATCAACAGAGATTATTCTTATTTCTAATATATTTTGATCTTGAAATTTCCCAACATTCACTCTCTTATCCATATAATGCAAAAACCTTAATATCTTTCTGAATTTAAGATTTTCACAGTTTTCTATATAATCTGGTTCGTCTTCCTCGCATGGCTCTAATTTTCCTGTAAAAAATAAAACGTATCGTTATTTTTTCTTTTTTTTTTTTTTTTTTCCTTTTTTTCTAGCAATTCATAGATAACTATATCGTTTATTTCTTTGTTACAGTCTTTTGTTACACTTATGTGTGCGTGTGTGTTATATGATAAATATGATACTATTATCTTCTTTATGATATATGTGCACAATATACATGAATAATAAATAATAAATAAATAATATATTCATAAACGTAGGATCTTCTAAAAAACATTGATAAAACAAAAAGAAACGATAAGAAAGATCATTTTTAATAATAGTAAATGTTTGACGCATGACTTTTGAGTGACATTCTGTATATAAATGTACACATAAACACATTACAAAGTAGATAATAACATTAGATTTTGATGCAATGTATTTGTCAGAGTTACTTTCAATAATTAACTTTATCCTCTTAGAGTTTACATTGTAAGAGCTATTACATTAACGGACATAAAGAAATACAATAGGTTGAATATAAGACAACGGTTTAAGAGATCCCTTCTCTATGATAAAGTGTATCATTATTCATAGTACCTCCGCTGTGTCATTGAAATACATTTTCTTCTTTTTCCTTTTTTTTTCTCTCTCTCTCTCTCTCTCTCTCTCTCTCTTTTATTCTCTCTACTATTATCGATACTCATTTAAATATTTATAAATTATGAAGTATTTTTCGATAAGTAACATTCGTAGTTTATTATGCATATGTGCATAAGTATATATATTTATGTATGTGTCTATCTGTATTTGTGTGTGTGTGTGTGTGTGTGTGTGTGTATGTGTATATATATTCATGTGTGTAAACGACTATTATTCGTGCATCAAGATAAGAGCGATCGTTAATTAGTCATCGAGTCTTGAACACGCTAATCTATACTAAAAAACAAATGCATATTGATCTCAAAAATGGTGAGGAACGTTTAGCGCTGATGCTTAACTGTATTAGAATCTCATTGTATTAGAAATGGACGGTAATCATTATTTCCAATGCCGTACATCTCATGTCATTATCTTCGACGTTTGTGACGTTGAAGATTCTAATCGTGTATTAGAATGATTTGCTAATCGGTCTGCTATTGAATGTATATGGGAATTAACTTTGAATAACATGTGTATAGTGACATATTATGGGATCCTATCTTGATTATATTATATTCGTTATTTTTCATTTTTTTTTTTTTTCTTTTTTTTTTGTTTTCATTTTTTTCATTTCTTTTTTTTCGTTTAATTATACAATTTTATTAATTATATTCTATCGAAGATAATTGTATAGAACAATTTTCCACTCAATATATGTCATTGAATACATGTAAAAATTAACTTTGTACGACATATTAATACGATCATTATATATTTTTATATAATATATATGTATATTTTTTTTTTCTTATTTTTTAAAATTTATTGTTTAGATTCATTCCTATATTTTTATTAATTCGTTATGTCTTATTGAAAATTTTAATTTTATATAAGAATAATTTGTTAATCATAATTTATTAATAATAATTATGTTATTTTAATGTATGTAATAATTAACTTTTAACATTATATTATATTATCTAATATATGTATATGTATTCATTATATTTTATTTATTTTTTGCTCCTTTGAATGTTAAATTTTTAGAATGTATTGGATATCAATAAAAAAAAAAGAATGAAAAAAAAAGAAAAAAATAATTATTAGAGCTATTAAAATTGTTACAAAAAGAGAAAGAGAGAGATAAGGAAGAATTTATAAGAAATAATAATTATTCTAACAATTGGGTAATGATATTTTTAATAAAAATATTAGAAAAAAACAATGCTTAAAATTTCTTTCTAAATTAAATATAACCTTTTTCTTCGCTTGTGAATTTTATATTTAAAAGATACATTTATATGGACATTTCTAAATGGCTCTCAACATTGTTAAGTTTGGTCATCTTTATGATATATCAAAATGATCTGATATATCGTGAATCAATATATTATTAAACATGTGTAATATATTATATTTTATTTATTGTTTAGACCCATTCCTATTTTCCTATTAGCAAACTAATTTATTTATTATTATATTTAATTATTTATTTATTTATTTATTTTTATAATCGTTTCTGCCTTTACTATTTATTAAATTCAGTCTTGTTAAAAATTTCGCTCGTATATATATATATATAATTATATATAATTATTATTAATAATATATATATATATAATTTTCTAATCGATGTTTCATTTATTATATATATACGAATCAACTTCAAATAACGTATTAAGCGATCTAGCGTATCTTCATTATACTCAATGTGTCATTTAGATTTATTTTTATTTTTTGTACATTAATAAATCAATGTTCCGTTAAAAATTCTACTCGTATATGAGAGAAATAAGGAAAGACACCATGGGCAGTTATAAATTAGAATTGATATTTACATACATTTTATAACACATTATGCACGTTATCTGCTTATATAATCTGAATTGCAGTTTTTTTTTTTTTCCTTTTTTGTGTTCATTCAGACTCATTGCTGATTATTTATTAGTAAATTAATATTCTATTAACAATTCGATCTTTATGTCATTGAATATATCGAGAAATAATATTTCAATTGTATAAATTTAGTAACGTGTTATATGATCTGTTTTATCTTAATAATATGTTTTTTAAACGCGTTATTATCTACCGATTGGTTAACACTGTTACATGTTTTCCATAAGACGAAATGTTTTATATATATATATATACATATCTTTATCTCTCTTTCTGTTTCTTATACATTATATATTGCTTCATATATATGTATATATATATATGTGTGTGTGTGTGTGTGTGTGTGTGTTATGATGATTCGACGAAGAAGCTAATAAACTCACCATTTAATAAAACGCCAATGATGGCACCGGTTGATGATACAGCCATTAAACTTAGATTGTTTTCAAGGGAAGATTTACTACAATAGTCTTCCAATTCGAGACACGTGCTATTTTCTCCTTCCGGTATAAGAGCGATATTTTGATTAAGAGGTTCATCTCGGAAGAAAAATCTCCTGAGAAATTTCAATACCCTGTGCTTGTCGTCCCTCGTTATAATTTCAATGTGATAATCCATAGCGGCGTTGATCACGGAATCGGCGGAATCCGCCAACTGAAAACAATAATAATAAAGAGATCGTCGCTGTATTCATGCTTTAATTTAATAAAAGATAAACGTTCAATTCCCCGATACGGCTGATAATTTCTTATTTTTTTTTTTTCTTTTTTTTCCAATTCAGTTAAACTCATATATATTGGATCGATTAATAATTATTAATACCGACATAATTTTACAATATTTTATATCTAAATAATAAATTAAATGTAATGTATGATATATTGTTAATATAATATAATACATATATATATATATTGTTTATATATTTAGATATAAATAAAAATACTAAAAATATGATATAATAATGTATAATAATATGATATAATAATATACATGTATTTACTTTTTGCAAAGACTTAAATATAACATATTATTAAAAACATAAAGGAACACGTATTATACATATATGTACATATATAGTATAATCGTATTGAACAATATATTAATATCGGAATGTTCAATACTTTATATCTAAATAAATAACACTAAATAAATTTTCATTGAACATTCCAATACATTATTTATTGGCCAATGCAATACATATACATTGTTATATATCATATGTGCATTTATACAAATGCAATTCTTTCGCAAATAAACGCAAGAGTCATCGTCTTCGTCATCTTTTTAGCTTGTTTTTGTTCGAAGAATCCAATTAGCGTGTTTTCACATGCAACAGTTGATATCGTGAAATTAGCACGATCGTTTTGCTAGCGAGTTCCTCTTTGTTTCTCATTCGACTCGTTATCTCTAGATCGCTCGTTGCCCGGTCAACGGCATGTAGATAAAACTAGATCATCATTGATCTAATTTTTTTCCTTTTTATTAACGATATATCATGGAATTGTAAGCAACATTAAAATGTATTTCATATCGTTTATCATCTTTAAAAAAGGAAAAAAAAAAGAGAGAAAATCTTGTTTTATCCCTCGTATCCATTCTATCGATCTATATATTTATTTACTTATCTAAATATTTGTTTATTTTTACATTTCTAATTTGGACTATTCTGTTTGATCGTTTAAACTATTAAATGGGCTTGAAAAAAATCACTTTTCAAGAATAACAAATGACAATTTTTGTTCTTTTTGAATTGATGAGGAAACTAACGATTATTATTATGTCATTAATATATATCCTTGAGAGAAGATAATCGCTTAAAAAATAATACATAATTATTGATACTTAATAAAATAGAAAATGGCGTTCATGATTAATTATTAAATACACGATTGACTACTAAATTGTATTCGAGGAGGAAAAAATAGGATGAGATAAATGATTACGTGTTCCGATCGATGCCGTAATATCGATTATCAATAATAATCGTTTACAATAAATAAATTCGTTTGTTAGGAATATTAGATCGAATTTTTTTTGTTTTTTTTTTTGTTTTTTTTCTTAACGAAGATTAAATAGATCAATTGTTATTGCTATATACATTAATTATATATATCTTTATATATACATCGATGTATTCAATAGGAACGATTACCGTCGTCTTACCTTTCTCTTTTATTACTAGTCAAACATTTCATATAAAAGATAGAATGAATAATTCTAAATATAAACGTTTTGTTTTATCACCTTACCGTATATCTCGTCATTTTCTTAGTATCTTTAACAAAATTTGTTTTTCCCTTCTGCTCGATGTTAGTATCTCCAATTCGAGCGGTAGGTGACAACTTGTTCGGCAAAATGGTCTCCATGATCGATGAACTTTTGATTATCTTTATTATCGATCACCGAACAAATCCGTAAACAAACAATAAATTTATTTATATATATGTATATGTATGTGTGTGTGTGTATATATATATTTGTATATAATGTAATATAATACGTAAATATATTGTATTCACGCGATAACTAATTAACGATAGAATCTATAATCGAAATAAATGATATAAACGAATGGTAGATGTCTTTTTTTTTCCTTGGCTAAATCAACTACTCGATATGCTCGTTGTATTGCGTCTACAACGTCGAGGTGGTAATCTAACACTGCGCTTTGCGATAGGACGTCCTCCGTTCTTATATAGACGCTCGGTAACGAATGGCATACAAGCTGTTCTTACAGGTTCAGGGACAAATACGGAAATATGAATGCAGTTTAGGATAGCCGATCGAGATCCGTGCCAATGTCATTTGCATTATGATATGTAAAGATGTTTATATGGATAAGGTAGATATGTTAGATAAATAGATAGATATATAGATAGGTTATAATGTTCAATGAAAGAATGATAAAATTCTCAATCGATAGGACGAAGATCAGTTTGGAACAATTTTACTTTTTGAAGGAATTTGCGATAAAGTGGGTGCAGTGTATCTGTAAGAAGGTTGTTACGAGGTCAAGGCTGCAATGTCTTAAAGTATTTTCTTTTCTTTCTTTCTGCTTTTTTTTTTCTTTTTTTTTTTTCCTGTCAATATATTCTCAAGATTTTAATTTATTTCATTTTAAGTTTATAGGCCATTAGACCCATCTAATTTATATATATATACATAGAGACATGCATAAACATAAATTCAAATGTACATATATATTTCTAAATATTTATGGTGTTCGTGTAAATGTTAATGTATTTATGTATAAGTACATATATATATATATATATATATGTATAAGTATATATATATATATATATACAAATATATATATATATATATATACAAATATGTATATATATATATATATATATATATGTATAAGTATATATATATATATACAAATATATATATATATACAAATATATATATATATATATATATATATATATATATATACAAATTATGTACCTGTACATAAAAATTTATTTGTATTTATATATGTATCTAAATATTTATGTATCATTCGTTTCGTACACATATATAGGAATGAAATATCGTAATAAGTTAAGTATGTACATACACACACACACACGCACGCACACACACACACACACACATATATATATATACATTCGTAAGATTGTTTGAGATCAAAGAATTTCATTGAGTGATTCAACTTATAAAGATTCTTATTCGTTACATTTACATCGTACGTAATGAATATGTAAAAATAATAATGAAAAATTTCTAATTATCTAGTAATTTTAATATTGACATGGATTTCATGGCAATAGTACATATATACATTATATAGGTATATACCTTGAAAAAGATTGTCTTTGATGGGCGTATCCGTTTGAAAACTATCATACAACCTTTACGTTCACGTAAGAGGAATTATTTTCAATGAAATAGGTATAACCTATCTCGTGAATGCTTTGATCTTGAATAATCTTTGATACTGATAAAAAAAAAAAAGAAAAAAAAATGTGGAATTCTATTTGCGAAGGTTTATACAAACGAACGAAGATCAAACGAGTTTGTCGATCATTCGTAGATCCATGTTTCGGAATTTTCCAAGACAAGAAATTCTGCTAACCTCTCGTTTTACATTTACGTATTATTTATAAATAAATATGATATGTAAACAAATGTTTAATATACTATATATCGTAAAATATCATATATATATATATATATATATATATATATATATATATATAATATAAATATAAGAATATATTATATAGTTCTTAGGAGAGATTTAAAAAAAAAAATATTAGGACAAAGGTGATGTTAAAAATCAATTATCTCTTTTTTGAAATTTTTTAAGCTACTTTTATTTTCCTAATCGCAAAACTAAATTCCTATGAACTTTATCGCAATATAAAAGAAAGAAAGAACGAAAATAAAATTGTTTTAAAAGTTTCGAAGAGAAAAAGGAAAAGCGAAAGAAAAAGAAAAGAAAAAATATTAATTAATTTGTAACATCACATATATATACATGTGTATATATATATATATATATAATACATATAAATAGGTATATTTCTTTATTAGTTTTGTATCAGAGTTAAGCAAAAGTTGATTGATACATTTATAATAAAAATAATACGTAATTAATTAAAAAAAAGAAAAAAAAAACAAATGCCACGTTCCAAATATGTTTCTTCTTTTTATCTTTCTTTCTTTCTTTTTTTTTTCTTTTTTTTCTTTTTTATCTACAATCGATGATTCATGATAACAATACTATAACATCATATCACCGAAAGTAAATAACTAGAAAAGAATGTTCATTTGAATGACAAATTCTAAGTAAAATCATTATTCAAATGAAATTCAAAGTTTCTTTGAATCCAAACCGGACCCTCGAACTAAATGTTTATTGTTCTCGGCTTCTAACTAAAAGGAAAGCGCGAATATATATAATGTCTAATGTGGAGCAAGGTGTGCCATAGGTTTAAACCGGATTTGAAGGTGGAAGGTTGTTGCTCGTTATGGTTGGTTGTTTACCTAATATTTAACATTACGTAACGTTTCATTGAAATAACTATACGAAACAATCGAAAGAATTTTACTAATAAGGTTTTATTTTATTTTATTTTATTTTATTTTATTTTATTTTATTTAAATTTTTTTTTCTTTTTTCTTTAATAAACAAAATTTCATCGATCGAAATCTTTGAAACGATCGGCTTTTATTTCCTTCTTGGCGAAGGTCAAAGGTTCCGATTCTTTGATCGGAATTCGATTGGATCATTAATATCTATCTGATAATTATCGACCTTCGATAAATCAAATAATCAATGGATTACTATCCGTTTATATTGTCATTAATCTATATCTATTGATTGAACAGGATACGATACCGGAGTGAATCTCCTTTGACCTCGACAACTATTGTTTCTTTCCTTTTTATTCTTTGGATCAATGCCAAAGATCTCAAGTAATCGCATAGATCAAGGTCAGATAAGTATATATTATATTCTTTGAACGAAATGAAAACTTTATCAAATGCGAAGGGTCATCAAGCAGAATCAATTAATAAATGTGATATATATAAATAATGTAATATATATGGACATATATATATATATATATGTATATTAAGGATATAGATATACATTTCTATCTTTCTTTCAACCAACAGGTTTCCACATTTTTTTTTTAAATCTCTCCAAGTTAACTCATGCGACTCATATTTCAATATTACTCAACGTGAATTTGCTATCCTGGTACGACCTGGAACCTAGGGTGGAAAAAAGGAAAAGATAAGAATGAGAGAAAAAAAACATTATATTATAGAACATGATTCCTTTTTATAACTGACTTAATTTACTATTTAACGAGTACGCGTCAACCTTATTATTATATTTCTAAAAAGATTTTAATTAATGTACATGTGATTATTACTATCTTTATATCTTAGTGATATAATTTATATAATGTTTATGTAATCTACAAAACAAAAAAACAAAAAAACTAACTTCTAATCTGTAATAAATCTTGTTAGAATTGCAAATATTTGTAAAATATATTTATCTAATCGATTTGATCGTACCGTTATAATTCGGTACGAATGCGTACTTAAAAGAGAAAAAAAGAAAAAAATAGAAAAAAATGAAAAAGAAAAAAAAACTATTAAAAAAAAATAAAAGAAGAAGAAGAAAAAGAGGAAAAGAGAAAAAAGAATTTTTACGGACGAGCAAAACATATTTTTTTTCTACAAAAAGTCGATTAACGTTCGTTATCCATTACATAAAACATTGTCAATAAGTAATTGTCACCGAATTGTTTCAATACCGCATTGCGTATAGTTATATCAATAAGATATATTATATGTCTGTATATATATACACCGATTAACTCTGGATTAAGATATATATATATATATATATATATATATATATATATATCCATGTATGTCTCTGCTGAGTGTCGATGATATGTTGAACAGTATGGTTGATCATTATAATCATTAGTGTCAAAATTCTTCATATACATCAGCAAATACGAATATCTAACGTTATAATAATAGCGACAGACTAATTGTATGATCTAGGAAGAATAGAACGGAAAAGTCATTAAAATCGTAAATTAGCCTGGCGAATATAACAAACAGATGTCTGTGATGTCGCGGATAATGAAGGAAAAAAAAAAAAAGAAAAGAAAAAAAAAGAGGAAAAAGAAGAAGAAGAAGCAGAAAAAAAAAGAGAAGACGAAAAGAATAATAACAAGCAGTATCACGAATCATTCGACGCGTTCAGCGTGATTGAAGATTACAGGTGTTGATCGAGAGCCGTTCGATCGTATCGATCCTTCATTAAGGTGTGACGGAGGCTCGCTGTTTCGATCGAATCCTATTTTCTCCTTTAATTCTTTTTCTTTTTCTTTTTTCTTTTCTTTTTTTTTTTTTGCGTCAAGAGCATACAAGGTAATCAATATATAAATTGATGTTAAGACGACGCCGAGGCAACGATCGATCGTATAATTGGTTTTATTTAATTTTTTATCTTTAAATTGATTATTATCTGTCGTAGAATCTTTTTCATCTTGCCCATAATTTACCTCATCTTAAGTATTCGTTTCACACGAATCGTTATTATTTCACTATACGATAAATTATATATAATTCGATGATATTTTTGTTACACCGAGATTGATATCATTTTTTATCTCTTCTTTTTTTTCTTCTTTTTCTTCTTCCTCTTTTTTTTCTTTTTATTTCTTTTCTCTTTGTCTTTTTTCGTATTATTTGTATAAAACAATATTTACTTCGTAATAAATACTAATGTCACATTATAATTATTTCATATTAATTTATAATATAATAAGAATGAAAATTAATATAATATAGTATATTTGCCATATCACTTTTAAGAATTAATTGTCTCACAATTTTATTTATATAATTTTCTATTTAATTGACATAATTATCAGTATAAAATAAAGTAATAATATATATATATACATATAAATTTGTCGATTTAGATCTATATACATCTCAATTATATGTTGGTCGATTATAATGGTAATACGATCAATTATTTCTCGATCTGGCTTTTGATCAATCGTTAAATGTGTGAAATGATCTAAAGACGACGTGTAAAAGAGACGACGAGATGGGAAGATGAAAAAAGAAGACGAGACTAGACAAGACAAAATAAAAGAAGTAAATGATGACAA